GAAAAATATGTTCCAAACAGATGACAATCAACTCCATGTTTGTGATGCCTAAAAACCTATGTAAAGACATATGGGAAAAAGTACCAAAACCAGATGTATCTATGTTGTTTGGAAACTTTTTGTTCTGCCCTCTCATGAACAACCATAGAAAGTAGAGCGAATGGAACACGGCACCTTACGTTCATTTTTGCCATAAAATTTGTCAGTGCTGACAAAGAAGAAGCAAAGCTGTTTCCAGTCCAGGTTGTCACACTTTTCTTTGTTTGGCTTTTTCATCTTGACAGAAGAACATGTTCTTTAAGAACTCTTCTCCTTCTGTGAGTCTATATGTCTCTGGCAACATCAGTCTTTCTAATTCTTGTCATTATGTCTGTCTAGCCATTTGTCTTCTTTTTTTTTTTAGAAGAAGAAAATTTCTAAAAATCTTAGAAATCATATTACATTTTTGTGATTACAAAAGGGAGCAATGTAGGCCTACAGATATTGAATGTTGTAAGAAAAATGAAAGAATTGTGAAAATAATTCAACCTAACAGACACAGGACAAAAAAACAACAACAACACAATTTAAAATGTTCGTCTTGTATCAGAAGTATGAAAATAATTTAAATACATTGTTGTTACCATTCATTTAGCAACAATGAATCGACATCAGGAACAACAATAAAATCAGTAGGGCTGCAATGATTAGTCAACATAAGCATTCATATCATCAACAGAAAATTATCAATGCAAAAGGTCACTGCTCATCTGTCAATGAGTAAATCAGATGAAATTTTTGTGTGCAAACTTTTATAAGAAGGTCAGTGTGAGGCCACTGTGTACTAACCAAGAACTACGAGTCACAGGTCAATATGAAAACTGAAAGACAGTGACAACCGAGACAGACCTTTAAAAGTGTAGGAGCATTACCCCACCCCCCAAAACACACACACAACTTTCCTTCCTCAGAAACATAATTGAAACGAAAAAAACTTGAAGGAAGACATTTTTATTTGGCTACTGAGTATTGAGTTTAAAGGAAAAATGTGAAAATGACAAAAATAAAACAATTTTAAAATGTAAAAGGAAATAAAAAACAAACCATTAATGCTTAGATCTATGATAGTGTTGAGTAAACTATAGACTTTATACTTCAGAATAAGTTTCATTAGGTTAAAAATGTATGTTAGCCAAACCTCACAACTTACATATAGAGCTGTAAATATCCTCTGGAAATTGTACATTTAGACTTTGTGCTTTATGGTTTCATAAAAAAACTTTTTCGGCTTCAGTAAATAGGGTTCAAACTCTTATTGTGAAGGACTGAAACAGGTGCTCTATGATTCACTGTTGTGACTGTCACTACTGTGAGAGAAATATAAGTTTTGTGTTCATTTATAGTTTATTGAGAAAGATTCATCCATAAACTTTGGCAAGTAAAAATCCTTTAAAAAATAAGAAACAAATACAGTCGGGTTCAGGAGCACAAAGGAGTTTGCTCTTTGGTCAAATCTTGAAATATTATTTCAAAATTATTAACATTCATGTTTGATCTGGTTTTTTTTTTCAGCTTTATTCTCAATACTAACATTATATAT